TTTTAAATTTCCTTACCTTACAGTCAATTTCTTTTCCACATTTCTGCTTTTCATAACTGATTAACCAATTATCATTTCCCCTGTCTTTCAAAACAAACAAAAAAATCTGTTACTTCATTTTTATGGACATTACATTAGGTCATTAAACATGAAATGTCTGATTTCAAATCAAAAGTTAGGTTTATTATATCTCAAATAGAAGCAGTACAATTAATCAAAGTATGCACCTAAACTATCAACACAGTTTTGCCATCTTAATGGTAGCTTGCTTATGCCAGCCGTGAAGAAGCCTGGAGAGCGAGTGGCAATGAAATCACGAAAGACGTTTTCCACAGCTTGTTGAGAATTGAATATTTTTCCTTATAAGAAGTGGTCCAAAGCCTGGAAGAAGTGATACTCAGTTGGTGCACGGTCTGGTGAATACAGTAGATGACAGAGAGTTTCCAAGTCCAGCCTCTTTAGTGTAACCAGCATTGTTTGTGCAACATGTGGTCCAGTGTTATCTTACAAGAGGATTGGCCTGTCTTCACTGACCAATCTCAGATGCTTAATCACAAGCATTCTCATCATTTCATCCAGTTAGTTGCAGTAGCCATCCGCTATAATCCATTGACCAGGTGTCATGAAGCTGTAATGGATAATACCAGCGCAAGAGCACCAAATAGACATCATTAGCTTTTTTGATGAACATTCAGTTTTGGACTGTGTTTTGGTACTTCATCTTTATCCAACCATTGTGCTGAATGCTTGTGATTGTCAAAAAAAGGTTCACTTTTCATCACATGTAACAATATGGTGTAGAAAATATGTCTTGACAGCAAAGAAAGGCAAATTTCAAGACGATTTCTCTTCTGGCACTCATTTAATTCATGCAGTACCCATCTGTCCAGCTTCTTTACCTTGCCGATTTGTTTCGAATGGTCCAATACTGTTGCAATAGGAACATCAAACTTTGCTAATTCACGAGTAGGTTGAGATCCATTCGCTTCCTCTACAGCTTTCAGTTCATCGTTATCCACCTTGGTCTCAGTTCACCTATATGGTTCATTTTCAAGATTAAACTCACCAGGACAGAACTTCTCAAACCATCAACATACTGTGAGTTCATTAGCCACATCCTTCCCAAACACTTCATTGATATTCTGCACTGTATTGGTTCCACGATGGAAGTCACATTTGAAAATAACATGAATTTTTGACTTATTCGTGGTTTCGTAAAAATTACTCTAAAAAAAATTCGAAAGATAATCACAAGTCAAATCATGCATTTGAAAGAATGAGGATGTACCTTCACAATAAAAATGAAACCAGAATTGTCAAAGTGAAATATCAGAGACATCAACTGTCAGACTTAGCACTTAAGGAAATCAGACATTTCATACTTAATAACCTAATAGCTTAATATTGGGAGAGAAAATCTAGTCACCATCTGATTTTTGAGACTTTGATTGGTTATTTGTAGCATATGTTTGCCATATTAAAGATTCCAATTTAACACATATGAAAAAAAAAATCCACAAATTTTACCTAATCTTTATTGAACACTTTCTCTGTGCCAGACACTGTTGTGTTTAACATGTATTTAATTCATGTAATCCTCATAACCACCCTGCACGGTGGGTATAATTATTAAACCAAGGTTATTAAAATCAAGGAACTTTTCCTTACCTTAGGATAAAAAAGCATCTACCCCTATTGCTAGGCAAATTTCTAAGTAAGCTCATCTAATGTTAGTATAAGAGTAATCTACACAGTATACTAACGTTAATATTACCCTTATAAGAACATATTAATTAAGAAGGTAAATCTAGGAAAGTAGATGATGCTTTTTCAGAATCTAATATAAATGAGGAAACATTTCTGAACCACTGGTTCTTAAACTTTAGAGTGCAACAGAATTACCTGGAAGGCTCCTTAAAACACAGCCTGCTGGCCCCCACTTGCAGAATTTCAGCAGAAATGGGGTGGTGTCTGCAAAGACACATGTTTAACAAGTTCTCATGTAATGCTAAACCTGATAGTCCAGGGACCCACAATTGGGAACCACTGCTATGGATTGTCTACATCACTGCCCCCTTCTGGCACAGAAAAAATTAATAAGATTTTAATGTATTTATAGACTATACTGTTATATAATGTCAAAATAAGCATGTAACACAATTTACACAATAAAGTTTCAATTATTCATATTATGCAGATAACATTTCTTAGGGGCTTTGTCTTGCCTCTAAGAAATTTCTCCGTAAGGGATAGGAACTGATCTCCATCACCTGGGAGGAGCCTGCTATGAGTCAGGATCCCCTATGCAGGATTAATTCTGCCCAGAGAGTCAGCACTACCTCTGTTTTCCAAAGCAGGTAGAGAAAGAGGCTTCAAGACTTCTGCATCAAATTTCATGGCTTTGATTTGGATAACAAAATACAGTCTGAAACTAGTAAGATTTGAGTGAATAAATGAGAGAACTTTAATACCTGTATTTCTGATGATGTAATCCAAAATAACTAATCTTTCAAATTGTGACTGAAATTGTTTTCTAATATTCTCAGGCAAAGGGTCAGCTTCAAATTTCCTAAGCCAATATTCAGCCTCCTTGTAACCTTCAACAAACAACTGAAAGGAACCAATCTATAATTTTAAGAACTATAGTTAGAAAAGAACGTACAAGAACAAAGGGATTAACTTTTTAATTTCTCAGCAGTACTGTCACAAAATATGTTATATAAACACAATAAGAAAGAAGAGCTAACACTAATTTAGATAAGCCACGTTTATCAAGAAAACTATTTTTATACACTAATTTTAAATAATCACATGAAGAATACATAGCAAATGAAGAATGCTCAACCCTAGGCTCTCAAGGAGCACAGCAGCTATTTTAGAATAATTAAAATAGAGAATAAATATGTGCCCTCAAGGTGATACTCTTAAAAAGAATGCTGTTTTCTAAAAATATTCATTAAAATAAATTTAATTATGGAGGCCAAATTTTACACCTATCCTGGTTATTTAATAACAGTGTAAGTTTATCTTACTAAAGAAACTTTTCAGGATTCTTTTCATAACATAAAATACAGAATAAAATTTTATTTAAAAAATAGGATGGATTCCTTGGCCAGGCAGATTAAAGATCCTGTCATAAATTTTAAAGAACTAATCAATTAATCATAACCTCTATAGTGTTTTTTTTTTAAAAAGTCCTTTCCTTAAAGATATAACCATTTTAAAAGGCACTATTATTACTAAAATTACTAGTTAACATTAAATAATTTATTAAAGAAGGAAATAATATAAATTTAAACAGCACATGACACACAGGCAATGTGTAGCTTAGTGTGCCTCATAAATGCAGACAAACAAATCACCACAAAGAAAATCTATTTCTTATCCTAACACCTTATATTGTTGGGATGAAATTTTAATTATTTCCTTAGAGTTGTCTTTAAAGAACTTATAAGTACCAGTAACTGTCATGAATACAGAAATAATATCCTCCTTTAATCATGCTTATTTCAGTATATCTAAGGAGGACCAGGCCTTCTACAACTTTTCAAACTTTCTGCCAACTTGGAGTATACTTTTTCTAAAACAGTTAAGTCAATCATGAATTCCCACTCAAATTCTTTTATCTAGATAAATGTACAGCAACAAACCAACAAAATAATAGGCCAAATATATTTAAAAAAAATAAATCCTAAAGCTTTTTCTAGAACATCTTTCCGCTTTAACTCTTTCCACCCTTGCTTAGCTAGTTGCTACTCATTCCTCAGGTTTATTGAAAAGTCACAAGAAAAAACCAAAATTTAACATGTAATGAGTAAACATAGCTGCTACCATTTACTGAATCTTTACTATGTACCAAGTACTTGACATGAATTTCTTAATTGTATCCTCACAACAACCTAAGAGGTAGTTTTTATCATCCCTGTTTTATAGAAACTGGGGCTTAGAGAATAAGGAACTTGCCCCAGGTCTCAGAGCTAACTAACAGAGTCTGGGATTAGAACCTAGGTCTGCTTCTAGATCTGAGCTTTTAGCCATTACTTTATAAAGCCTTCTATGTAACCGCTTCTTGGAAACATTCCCCACCCCTCCTAACTGGGTAAGGCATCCCTCTTCTATCCTCTCAGAGCTTCCTGAACTTACCAGCATATCTACAGCTTTATCATACTGCACTGAAATTACTTGTTTACTATAAGTTCCTGGAAGATTAAAAAAACTCTTTTCTTTATTATTATATCCACAGCTCACAGCACAACGCCTAGCTCCTGGAGTTCAGGATACATGTGCCTAATTGCTCCCCAAATAAAGCTTATCAGAGAAACTTACCTTGGGAGGGAGTCCTATCCGGTGAAACTTTCTACCTACTTTTGGCACTTTTTCTAAAGCATACTTTTTGCCTCTTGATTTTGCACGGTCAATTGTACTGTAGTTAAAGGTCTCACTGACAAGCCAAACCACCTAGAAAGAGCAATGAAATACAGACTTAGGAATGAACATTTTGAGGAAGTCTTAAATAAAAATTTATAAAAGCCAAAAAAAAAAAAAAAAAACACAATAGCAATCTTTTGAGTATTTTAGTTATCTCTACCTTCAATAGGATCTCTAGATCCCTAATCTTTTTCTGCTTTCTAAATGGTAGTTCTTTCTTCTCTTGTTAGCATTGTCTGACCTCAGAGAAACAAGACACATTCCCTGAGATATTGTGTGGCTCTATATACTACAGTCAATTTACTTGTCACTCATGACTCTTGGATTACCAAACAAGGGGCTCAACTTCAGGCTTAATCATTAGGAATTATTACTACTCAGAGATAAACAGGCTGTAAATTAGAAGTAAATGATTAAAAACAAATTCTTTACCTTTGTTTTAGGTACAATGCCCAGATGAAGCTTTTCATCTACAAGGCAGGCACCAGCTTCAGAAAGGTAACCCTGATTAGGAACCAGGCAGCCTCTGCCAAAGCAGCAAGGGCAGCAGACCTTATGAACATATTTGGTCCATTTTGGATTTAGTTGACCATAAGGCTCTTCTGATTTGGGTTTAAACACACCAATAATTTTCTATAGGGAAAAAAAGAAGAAATCTCATTAGACTTTTAATATAGATAATAATCCATAAAATGCATTCTGATAACTTGTTTTCTACTGCTTTCCACCACTGATTTACACACAACCCTCAAATAGTAAGAGGTTTAGTTCCAATGACATTTTTACGTTCATTCCCATTCAGCAATCTAAAATCAATAACCCTTGGACCAGTAGTTTTCAAATGGTGCTCTGACAAACCATAGAAAGGAGAGGGCAAGGCTCCAAGACCCCATGCCGTTTAACAAGATTAACTCTGACTTCACCCATTTTATATTTCTGGACTTCCAAGTTAAGAAAAAGTTTCACTGATTTTTAAATGTTTATTAAAAACCACCATTAAAGGCAGGGTGCAGTGCTCATGCCTGTAATCCTAGCACTCTGGGAGGCCAAGGCAGGAGGCTCACTTGAGCTCAGGAGTTTGAGACCAGCCTGAGCAAGATCGAGACCCTGTCCCTACTAAAAACAGAAAAATTAGCCGGGTGCCATGGTGCACACCTATAGTCCCAGCTACTTGCGAGGCTGAGACAGGGAGTTGCTTGAGCCCAGGAGTGTGAGGTTGCAGTGGGCTATGATGATGCCACTGTACTCTACCCAGGGTGACAGAGCAAGACTCTGTCTCAAAATAAATAAACAAATAAATAAATAAATACCACCACTTTAGATCAAACAGTGTTATTATTCATTATTTACTAAATGTCCAAATTATGTTTGTTTATTCTCTACTTTCCTCACTATAATTTACATTCTAAAAAGGCAGGGGCTTTGTTAGGGCTGCATCTCCAGTACTTAGACTAGTCCCTGATACACAGTAGGCATTCAAGTATTTGTTTAATAAGTATATAAATTCAATGATAAAAAAACCAGTTGTCTAAAATACAAAGGTAATAAGATATTGTGAACATCTATGCTGTCGGACAGTCCTACTCTTAATTCTTAGTTTTTCATGAACCAATTTTAAATAAACTTTTAAAAAAATTTGCTCTTGGATATCTAAAAGTCTCTATACTCTTTAGTATTCTCAGATACAATATATTCATATTAAATTTACAGGTTGAATTATCCTTATGCAAGAAATCAAAAATCTTATTATAATTCTAAGTATATAATAACCAACAAAATAATAGGCCAAATATATTTAAAAAAAATAAATCCTAAAGCTTTTTCTAGAACATCTTTCCGCTTTAACTCTTTCCACCCTTGCT